CGGGCCCGAGGTCAATTTTTTACTTTTTGGGGAAAATGATAGAAAACCATAATTTAGCATTGGGATTGAATTATTTAGCATTTATTGATGTTGTCAAATTAATTTGGACTAGATACAAGTAATTTGGAGGCGAATTCTAAAGGAAAAGCGGTGTTTGAGGCTTGAGTTGGCCGTAGAAGTTTGAGGTAAGTGTTTGATCTAACCTTAGCTTGAGGGATTAGGAGTTGTGTCTTATTTGCTATGTGTTAGCTGGGAGTATGACGTATAGGCATGGTGACGAGTATCTATACGTCGGTGTCAAGCATGCCCGTAAGTCTCGTATTGTAATTGTTATGACTCCGTTGTGGTTTATTCGTGCTCCATATGAGGATTATATTATTGTTCCCTTGTCGGGATGTTGTTGTTATATTGTTCCCTTGCCGGGATGTTGTTGTTATATTATTGTTCCCTTGCCGGGATGTTGTTGTTATATTATTGTTCCCTTGTTGGGATTCTTTTATGATTGGTGTTGATATATGAAATGGGAGCGGGTTGCAACCTGCAACGGTAATATATGAAATGAGAGCGGGTTGCACGCCTGCAACAGTAATATATGAAATGGGAGTGGGTTGCACGCTTGCAACGGTAATATATGAAATGGGAGCGGGTTGCACGCCTGCAACGGTATTATATGAAATAGGAGCGGGTTGCACGCCTGCAACGGTAATATATGAAATGGGATCGGGTTGCACGCCTGCAACGGTATTATATGAAACGGGAGCGGGTTGCACGCCTGCAACGGTTATAGGAAAAGAGATCGGGTTGCACGCCTGCTACGGTATTACATGTGTACTTATTTCTTATTTCCTTACATTTTGCTAGTGATTGATTTATGGCGTTCCTTACATTTCTCTATTGATTTCTGCTATTACTTGATATACCCCACAGCATGTTTCCCCCTCCTACCTTTAACTGTGAATATCTGCTTTTATTTTCCGCTGTGTATAATTTAACTGCACAGGTTTATTTGGTAGTCTGGTCCTAGCCTCGTCACTACTTCGCCGAGGTTAGGCAAGGCACTTACCAGCACATGGGGTCGGTTGTGCTGATACTACACTCTGCACTATGTGAAGATACTGATATCGGAACATTTGGACCGTAGTGAGGGTGCTGCCGTCAGTCCATTTAGGCGACCCGAGGTAGTCCTGCAGACATCCGCGGGCCTTGGCGTCTCCTCCTATCAATTCTCTTTCTGTTTTTACTTATTCAGAGACAGATTTGTGTAATTCTATTTAGATCTTGTTTGTTCTTAGATAGTCCGTGACTTGTGACAATAAATTCTGGGTAGTATTGTACTTCCGATTATGTAGCAGTGTTTGGTTGAATTATTAAGTTTTTCGTCTTCTGCATTTCTGGTTATTTAATTTATTCCGCTACTTAATCACTTATTATTTTAAATTGTTGAACATGTTTAATAAAAGGATGGTAATGATTTTATAATATTTGGCTTGCCCAGATTCCACGAGTAGGTGCCATCACGACTCCCGAGGGTGGGAAATCCGGATCGTGACATTAAGGTTATACTGGATACACTTATTCTTAAATTCCTTTATTCTAGATTTTCTATTATTTCGTTAAATAACAATAACTGCTCTTCTAACATGAGTAATCTCAGTTGAAAATAAATCAAGGTCACTTTTAACAATTAAATTATAAACATGACATGCACACCTAACATGAAAATTTTCATCAAGTGGTGGTTGCAAATGCAGTTTTAATATGGAAATTGCGGCATTATTGTTAGAAGCATTATCAAAAGACATACACAATACTTTTTGCTTGAGATTACAAAATTCAACAACTTCACAAATAGTAGTACTTATAAACGCAGCAGTATGACTTTGATCTTCATCATATTTAAAAGCGATAATACATTTTTGCATATAATAATTATCATCTATCCAATGACATGTAATTGTCAAATAATCATTTCCATTAACAGTATGGCCAATATCAGAAGTTAGAGAAACTCTACAAGGAAGGTGGCTAAACAAATAACGTATGTATGTTTGATATTGTCCATGAAGTCTAAAGATATCCGATCTACAAGTACTTCTAGGGATACCTTTAAATAAAGGATTGTAAATCCTTTGAATATACATAATAAGATATGATGAAGAAGCAAAATAAAAAGGTAGACAACTCAAAGCAATCATTTTTGCTAACTCTTCACGATCCTTCATTTTATCATATTTCATAAGACCTCCAGTAGTAGGGTTTAGAGTTGCTTGATTTCCATCTCCATCAGAGACCCATTCTATAGGATGCTCAATTCTCATATGTCTACTAAGTGTCCCAGTCCCCCCTAATTGTCCTCCAATCTTATGTTTAAAAGTATCATTACAAAGTTTGCATTTAATTCTATCAGTACCTTCTATTTCGTCAAAAAATTTCCAAACCTTACTTTTTTTTCTCCGATTACTAGTCGGGGCCACAGATGGTCTACTACTAGCACCACGACCACCACCCCTGCTACCAGTTCCAACACTACTAGGTGTAAGTGGTATCTCATCTTCCATTTCTAATTCATTATCTTCTATACCGAAATCTTCCTGGAATTGTTCATAATGTATATTATTATCAGGTAATGTTTCAGGAATATTTGCAGAGGCATTTAAATTACTACCCGATGCTGAAGTACTCCCTCTTTGTTTATTTCCCCGATTAGTAACCTTATTACAAACTCTTTTTGCAGCATTAAACATATTGTAAAAATTTAACTACTAGCAATAATTAAATATGCAAATAAATAGTAAATAAGAGAAAGAGTTGGAGGGAGTGCACCGAATTCGACAATAAATTGAGCACTTGATGATTTCGCAACTCCAATGTTACCACGAAGAAACATCAATTGTTCCAATTTTGAAGTTCAATTGTTCAAACTTCAAATAATAAATACTACGATAAATTAAATTCCAAAAAAAAAAAAGAGCCAAATAGTTGATTGCACTTTAGGTGAAGATTGAAGTATGAGAATTGAGAGATGAGTGAAGAAATGAAGAAGAGGGGGGGAGTATTTGTAGTTTTTCAAAGGGGTGTTAATTTTTTTAAAAAAAAACCCAAAAATGGGCTATTTATGAAATTCTGCCGTTAGGCAACGGCCACAATGGGAAAAAGACCGTTGCCAATGGTCAGATGTTAGGCCCACTAGTAAAAAAAAAATAGTTACCGTTATACCGGTCCGGGCCGGTTAACCGGTTGAACAGTAATTTGCGTTGACCGGGTTTGACCGGTCCGGTTAACCGGTTGACAAAACGTGAACGGACGAAACCCCTTACCCCTTTAACCTAGCCCCACCCGGCCCCTTGTACCGGTCCGAGCCGATTCCGGTTTCAACCGATCTGGGCTGATCCGGAAACGAGCTGACCCGGCCCGTTAGACACCCATAGTTAAAACCAAGCTTTCTCCCTAAATAAAGACGTAGAGATTAATAGCCTGTCTGGCCAAGCTTCTCAAGAGTCCAAAAGTACTTTTTCCCCCAAAAGTACTTTTTTTTCTTCCTAACTTGAGGTGTTTGGCCAAGCTTTTTTGGGGAAAAAAGTGCTTTTGGGATGAAGTCGAAGCAGTTTCTAAGAAGCAGAAAAAGTAGCTTTTTCCCAAAAGCAAAAGCAGTTTTGACTTTTCTTCTTACCAAAAATACCCTTAATAAAATATTTATATATACCATAATAACCGTTAAACCTAATACTTAAGATATTAATGTATAAGTATTCTTTCTTATTTTTAGGATAACTTTCTAATACATAGTGAGTTTAGGGGTGAATGCTTTTATATTTGTTGAATGATTTTTAATATATTTAACTTATATTAAAAGAATTAAATACTTTTTAATTTGATTTTCATATTTTATTCAAATAAAATGAAAATATTTAATTATTGCTTGTAATAACAAATTTTTGAGATTATTTAAATACTTATAATATTAACTATTAAGTAAATCTATTCATGTCGTTAGTCGTAATTTGATACTTAAAAGCACTTTCTGAAAAGCTTGGTCAAACATAAATTATTGTTCAAAGTGCTTTTCAAAGTGATTAGCCAAACAAAAATTGCTTCGCTCCAAAAGTACTTTTTTCAAAAGCACTTTTCAAAATAAGTTGATTTCTCCAGCTGGACCAAACAGGCTACTCCCTCTGTTCCAGTTTATGTGAACCTGTTTTCTTTTTGGTCCGTTCCAAAAAGAATGACCCCTCTCTAAATTTAGTAATAATTTAGCTTAAACTTACAATTCTACCCTTAATGAGAAGCTTTTATACCACACAAATACTCCGGGTCCCTTTTTGACTTGTTTAGGACCACAAATTCCAAAATTATTTATTTTTTCTTAAGCACCGTGCCCAGTTAAACAGGTTTATATAAATTGGAACAGAGGGAGTATAAATCTTCATGATGGGAAACGTAATCACATAAACACATAATGCGAGACGGAAAAGTTGATGCAAAGATGACGGAAACTAAAACCAACAAAAGTAGTTGCTAATGGTTGAAGCCAACTTAATTAAAACAAAAGGCAGCTTAGCTTCTTTTAGTGATTAATAAAAACAAAAGGCAGCCTAGCTTGTTTTAGTGATTAATAAAAACAAAAGGCAGTTTGTTTTAGTGACAGCAACTCCAGGAGTTGTATCAACCACAGCAAAATTAAGCCTAATAATGGCAGGATCATTTTGCCTTGTAGTGACCCTACAAGATGCGTAAGAAGATAAAGATTAGTACTTTTGTGCATCATAGATGACAAGATTTAAGAAAAAGTTGGAAATAATAGGGACATCCATTAACAATATTAGGGCGACGAGACGACTAGTAAAACTGAATAATCAAATAAAATGCACTGTTCAAAGTCGCGCTAGTGTCTTGTCATTGAATTGTCCTTAAATTATGTGTTGACTTACCGACTGATATCTCCGATCCGCAGTTGCAGAGACTATATATATATATATATATATATATATATATATATATATATATATATATATATATATATATAAGAATAGGTCTCACTATATATATGGCATCAAGTTGCAGCCCTTAAATGTTACATCTCAATCCTCTTCTTTAGCTGTAGACTAGTCCCAAGAAATGATAATGCTGGGGAAATTAAAGACCTCACAGCATCATTTTAACTAGGATACATGCCTGCAGTAATACGCGCACATCAAGTCCTACGATGATATTAAATTCAGCATACACTCCAGTCTAAAGGAAAAAGAAGAAAGAAATGAAACAAGAACTAATTAAGTTACCTCGGGAAATTACTTACCAAACTTCAAGTTCAGCGGCAGCTAATTATAGATACAACTTTCCCCCTAAGCTTTTCAAGTCTCTGCATATATAATGGAAGAATACAAGTTTGAAACAATGAAGCTAATGGAGTATATAATATCATGACCAAACGCCAGGACACATACCGAACCAGATATCTTTGCCCGTCTTTCAGCAGAAGCGCTGGCTTCTTTCAGATGAGAATTAACAATATAATGTGAATGATCAAAATTTAAATAATAGGTCGAATTTTCTGTTGCTTCAGCTACCCAGAGGTTATTAATATTAATTATCTCTTGCTCTCTTGATGAGATTGCAAAAGGAAACTTCATTGTTTCAGCTGTGGATACTGGATACAAATTAGAGAAACACCATAGACCGACGACTTCAACATTTGAGTTTTACTCTATAGCATAACCCTTTAAATTCATTAATCAGGAATACTGTGTAGTGCATCAATGACATATATAATGTTGTGCATGGATACATGCAAAGACCATAAGAGAATATAAAGGTTGTAGTAGTAATTAAAGCACGGGCCCAGATGCCATTAAGCAACAGAAGCGTTAGAGTTGGAAGTTAATGGTATACCACCATATGTCCTGTATAAAAGAGGATTTTCTTAATGTTTTATATCTACACAATAAGTTGCTTCCAGAAAAGCAGAGGTTCAGTGCTGGTGGCTACGAGGAAAATCATGTACCGCCAGTCGTAGTTTACTCCTTACTCACCGCAGACCCTACAAGGTTAGAGTTTATTGGTGCAAATGAATCAGTTTCTATGCATATATGGTGAGTTGAAGCTAGTGGCCATCAAGGTTTCTGATTCATCCAACGTAGATGTGGACCCATCAGCTACAAATTAAATACCCACTGCTTACTTTGATGAGCTTCTGTATACCGCTGCCCCACAAAAACCACTGCACCGATATCAAACTCCCTGAATGAACCCAAGAAACACAATAAGTAAATAAAGAAGTTTCTCGCTTCAGGAGCACGTGTTGATTCCGAGATTTTACCACCAGAACCAACCTGGCCATAGGAATTTCACCCCAATGGAACAAAAAAAAGGGCCTGCAGGAACTGGTATCAGATATATAAGTAAAAGCATGAAAACAGCATATATATATATACTTACTCAAAACCCTCAATTGCCATAGGAGACAAAGGCCGTCATTTGGCTTTGGACCCTTTTGCTTGCAAATAAAGGGTGCTCGAGTCTGAGCTTATCGGTGTAAGCCCTGCAACAGCAAAAGCTTGACCCTCGGATTGCTATAAAACAATCAGTTAGAGATGGAAGTAGTAGAGAATTGAGAAATATATTACTTAGCAAATTAAAAATGAGGGGATATAAGATTAAAGGAAAAAATTCAGAGAAAAATCAGATAGCCAAGAGGATATTAAAGCACATCACTACCTGTTGTAATTAAGCCTTCCTGTGGGCATGCAGCACTTGGATGGAGTAGTTTTGCTAGTCAATCCAACAACTCTAACTCGCATAAAAGGAGTGACGTCTCTTTCAGCAAGTCCAGCAGCCTAACCTCCTATAGTGAAGCAAGTATAAAAGAACATACCTAGCTCCAACAAATATTATATTGCTTGATATATAGGATGCAAATGCATTCAACTGCTCTTTAGACATCTCTGCCATCAGAAGTTCTGGTTCTGCAGCTCTCTCTAGTATCTGAGATTCTGAGGTTATTCCCTCCACAACTCTACAGCGTCTACCTAGATTGACAATTCACAAATATATCAATAAATATCACAGATAAATTAAAACACATCAAGTAAGTAGTATTTAAAGAGCATTGCATGAACAAATCCAAGGGATAGGCATGATAGAAAGGATCTCCATCCTAGAATGTCAGTTTCTTAATATTAAAGAGGAAAAAAACTGACAGTGAAAACAATGACATAGCAAGCAGAACCTTTTGGCTTCTTTATTGAAAAACTCACAAGCTTGACATTTTTCCATCATAATTTGCAAAATCAGCTCAAGCGCTTGCACTATGTTTCACAAGAAAAGGCTAGCACCAGCTTCTCGTATCAAGCTTTTCGGTATTGGAGCAAACTTTACATTTGTACTTTTGTTTACTGTCACTTCTCGTCATTCTTTATTTTCAACCTACCAGACTAATAATTCAAACCAAACCCAGCTGCTCAATCCACCAGTCGGTACCACCTAGCCGTCAAACTAGCCATACAGATACATACAACCAAACATATTTATGTGTTATGCATAAATCATTTAAAGAAACATCTTCATTCCCCATAGATTGGATTTAGCAGATGATTTGACTGCATTTCAACAGAGTGATACTGGTTTAATTTGCTAGAGGATGTCAATCAATTTGATGAGGGAAGACAATTGACCGCTGTTAAAATTGAACGCTTATAACTAAAGCAACTTTAACTGGAGAGGTAACCTTAAGCTTAACCCCCCGTGCACACAGGGGAGGGAGTGAACATTTAACCACATTGACTTCCTTGCATTCATTTAACAACTATTCTCCGCTGCCTGTTCTATTTTTCTCTAATAGCACAAAATATTTAGTGATGTTATTCTTCAGCTCAGTGCAAGTTATTTTCTTTCATCTTTTGCCTAATAAAAGAAGAGATACTATCCGCATTGTCCATTAAACTCATTTTCATGCCTCATTCCGCTATTCAACTATGACCCAGAATGGTTGAAACACTCTAATCTTAAAGCAAAGGTCAAATGTTTTGAGTAGTAAATATATCCAAGTGAAGATTTTTAGGTGTTGTCATGCAATTTGCGACTGTTGTAGTTACCAAAATTAGTTGACACATACCATTACTCAAACCCATTGACGTTTTCCATTTAAAAACTAATCTGCTATCCAATTCTTGATAGCTATAATATTTTGATACAGATGTGTGATCCATCGAGCATTTGATGAAAATCACACATAATAGTAGCAGGAAGTAAGGATCACTTTACAGATAAACCAACTGTGACACTTTTATATATGTTGCACCCACGAATTCATATTTATTGAATAAACCAAATGTGGACTTAAGAGTGATCTGGCACTAAAGTAGCATCAGACAACAGAGGCCTACAATGAAGGAGTTGAGGCACAACTCTTGATGTATCACGGGTTTCAGATGAGGAAAAACCAAGAAGCTAATACTGCAAATTGCAAGAAGTTAGCAGGAAGATACAAATTAGGTCAGAATGCCAGTTTATTACAAGAAGATATTCAAGTAAGCATGTGAAGCAGCAAATGCATTTTTTTGTGGTATGTTTATAAACGATGCAATTCAAATCGACCGTCTGATGGGATAAAGATACAAGTGGGAAGCGCATAGCTATTAAATTGTTCAAAAGCTAGAAGTATTTACTTGATGCAAGGAAGTAAGAGAGCCAAACTCATATATAGCTGTATCAGTTGAGTTTTTTTTTCTTTTTCCCCTTTAAGTGATGGAGTAGTTTTTAAAGAAAGAGTGGTTCATTTCTTCCGGTTAAAAAACAAAAATTTATGCAATTCCAAAAATGAACTCATAATGTAGATATCAAGTGAAGGATGGAGAGAAATCTTTTAGCAAGTATCACCTTTGATTAAAAGAGTGCATCTCTTTAGCTTCCGTCCTTTGAGATCTTACAACGAAACCCCCATTAATGTCATAGATTTTCAACAGACTCAAAACTAATACAAATTTCAATTACCTTTCCCTATAGAGAACAGGATATATCTTTGAAATTCCGACCTATGTAAGTGGAACAGAACCTCCACCATCCTTGATTGACAAAAATGATAATGGAATGGCACCACCTATACCTAACAACATTTACATGAAGCAAGACGGGCCAGAAGGGGAAAGAGAATACTTTAGTGGCATTGTCAGGATATAAATGCAGGTCATAAGTTCTTGGTATTACTAATGCTTACATAGTCTCTTACACAAAGGATAGACTACAACCATTAATTTAATGCGCTACCCTTAGCTTTTGGCCAACAAACAGCTTTCCAGCAGCCAACTTCTTGGATAATAGTATATCTAAGACAGCAGTAATTGAATGCCTGTAAAACAAACAAGTTCTGCATGATTCGTGAAATCCAACTTATAATATGGTGATAGATATTAGTAATATTTTTCTTACCACCCATCTGTCAGTTCAATTTTTGCACAAGCTCCATTTTCGGCCAGGAATGATATGTGGTGCGTGGGGATATTGTGGTGATGTCGGGATATTGTGTTGGTGATTTTTATGCGATGTTGTGATTTCTTGGTGATTTCTTTTATATATTGTGCAATTTATTTTATTTTTAAATTTGATAATAGTTGGATATATGTTGAAATTATGCGCCTGTGGATATTGTCGGGGATTATGATATGGGCACGAGGTGCCGGGGATAAATGACAAATTTATTGTTGGTACGTGAATTGTCCGTACAGTTATGATATGAAATATGGGCACGAGGTGCCGTGGTTATATAATGAAAATGATTTTGACACGTTATTTGTCCGTGCAGTCGTGATATGAAATGTGGGCACGAGGTGCCGTGAGTAAATGATGACGATATTGGCACGTGAGTTGTCCTTGCGGTTGTGATAGAAATATTGGCACGAGGCGCCGTGAAAATATAAAAATGGGCCGAGACCCGTATTTTTATGATTTTGAAATGAGGTGTCACATGGTGACTTTTATTTGAAAGAATTATACTCGAAAAATATTATTTGAAAATTATATTTGGAAAATATTTGTTTGACAGAATTATATTTGAAATATATTTATCGAAAGGTATTGTATCCTAAAGGTTTCTATTGGGGAGTTTTATATTTGAAGGACTTGATTAATTGGTCGTACTTGTATTCATTATTTGCTGAGCAATATTTATGGTGTTCTTGTTGCCCTGTTGTTTATATCATTGGTTGATTATTGTTGTCCTCATTGCTATTGTTTCCTATTTTTTTTATATGCTATAATACACGGGTTATTAGACTAGTGAGTGTCTTCACTGTACCTCGCCACTACTCTACCGAGGTTAGTCTTGATACTTACTGGTTACCGCTGTGGTGTACTCATACTACACTTCGGTACATTTTTTGTACAGAGCCAGGTATTGGAGATATCGCACTCGGACAGAGTTACTGTGATCGCAAGGATTCAAGGTATGGCTGCTTGGTCGTCGCAGTCCCTTGGAGTCTTTCCATTTCTATTGTACTGTTAATTTCTTATTCGAACAGTATTGTATATTCGATCCTCGAGATCATTCCACGTATTCAGTTAGAGTTCGTGACTCAGTATACCAGTCTTGGGAGTTTGGTTGATTATTTCCGTTGTTAGTTTTGACACTTATTTCTATTTCTATTTCTTGTAATAAATTATATTTCAAAAAAAATAAAGGGGGCTTGAAGTGTAGTTATAATCGGCTTACATTGTCTTAGAGACTAAGTGTCATCACGACACCTGTGGTGGTGATTTGGGTCATGACATTTTTACTCTATCCAATTCTGCTTGAAGTTGTCTATTTTTTTCAAGTTCATCATACAGACTAGTTTTTACAGTATTTAACTCGTTTTCAAGTTGAATGCGTGCCTCACTAGCCACTTCCTTTCCTTTTTTCGAATTCTCTGACCTGCATTCAGTTTTGAGTTCCTCTATTGTTTCCTTTAAGTCTACAATCACCACTAAGAGGTCATCTCTTTCCTGCTCAATAACAGCCACTTTCTCCACTAAGGCATCTTTTTTTTATTGGAATTCTCAATGGTTTCTTTTAGGTCAACTACTGCTACCATCAGATCATCTCTTTCGTGTTCTACACTAGTGATTCTGTTAGTTAGAATCTCCTTTTCATTTTCAAAATTACATATTGTTTCCTTCATATCAACCACACAAACTACCAAGTCATCTCTAGTTTGTTCAGTATTTCCTAACTCCAAGGTTAAGGCATCCTTATCATTTACATGACTATGGTAAGCATCAATCAACACATTAGCTAATGACATGAGTTTTCTAGGAGAGTAGGACTTTAGATTTCTCTGAACATCCCGAAAATTTACCCCATCATTGTCATCGTCTTCATCATCATCTGATTGAGCCATCAAAGCAAATATTGAGCCATACTTTGCTTCACCTTCAACTGCCATCATTGAGCTGTCTCCTGCATTATCTTCTTCTTCAGACTCGCTGGAAGAATCTCCCCATGCTGCAATAGCTTGTTTCACAATATTGTCAGCGACGTTCTTTCTTTTGAAGCGTTTATCAGGAACCTGGTTCCTCTTGGCTGCTTTGTCAGAGTTGTGTTTGAAGTTTTCTTGCTTCAGGAGAGGACAATCTTTTATGAAATGCCCTAGCTTTCCACAGTTATGATAGAGGTCATAGTTCTTTGGCTTGCTAGAACTACCCCTCTTTGGTATACCTCCATTCCTACTAACCATTTTTCTGAAATCTTCTGGTTAAGTAAGCCATGTCACTATCCTCGCCACTTGAGTCATTGCTTTCTGCCTTAAGTACCAGGTTCTTTCCTTCTTTGGTTCTCTTCTTTCAATGTCCTTCTTCTTCTTCATTTCATAGGTTTTCAGATTCCCAACTAGCTCATCTATAGTCAGCTCCTGCAAATCCTTTGCTTCAGTAATGGCATCCACTTTACTCTCCCGTGAACTGGGCAAAACACTGAGAATTTTCCTCACGAGCTTGTTCCTAGGAATGATTTCACCAAGCGAGTGTAACTCATTTATGATGGAAGTGAATTGAGTGTGCATGTATTTAATGGATTCATCGTGAGCATGTCAATCTTAGATTTCTTTACTTGAGTAGTTCCTTCGTGTGTTGTTTGTAATGCTTCCCATATCTCTTTGGCAGATTGGCAAGCTGAAATCCTGTTGTATTCATCAGGACCTATACCACACACCAAAATTTTCTTGGTACGAAATTTTTTCTCCACAGCCTTCCTGTGACCATCCTTGCATTCTTTCCTCGTCTTAGGCATTGTCACAACAGGATCTCCGACCTTTTTTGTAGGGATATAAGGACCATCACATATAACATCCCACAACTAGGAGTCTTCAGCCATGATAAAATCATTCATCTTTGTCTTCCACCACCCATAATATTGGCCATTGAAACCTGGGTGGTCTGTAGGTAGACTGACCCTCTTCGAAGTTCGGTGGAGCAGCCATGAGGATCCTTTCTAGGTGTTAACCTAATAGAAAGAGCCTGCTCTAATACCAATTGATAGAATATATGAGTCCGCCAAACTATATAGAGACCATGTCTATATAGGTTTCCACAGATAAGGCTAATACAACAGTAAATAAATGGAACAGGGAACTTTTACCTGGAAAAATCCCTGCTCAATTGGATAAAAAAAACCTACACTGGTTGGATTTTAACTTCACTATGAGCAATCTTTAGATTACAACCTAGGCAATCTAGGAATTAAACTCTTAAACCCTTATGAACTTGTAATACACCTATTACAAGCCACTTTACAATACACCATTTACAAAGACTTCAACTCATGACTAACTCTAGTCACGACACAAACACTAAAGGTTTATGGTTTACAAGGGGTTCCTACTTAAAGCTTCTAGATAAGCAAAGTAGGAATTACAATGAAGAACAATTACAAAGTTACAACTCAACTAAGGACATACAAGAGACTTGCTGTAGGAGCTGGTCCGAAGTAGTGTCGTACTTTGTTCTTGATGCACTTGAGAATAGAATGCATGATTGTCAGATGCTTGAATGCTTTGATGAATTCTCAAGTGTTCAAGTGATGTTTTGTTGTAATGTTTAATGTTAATACAACATGGATGACATCACTTGAATGATGTAATCACTTGGTTGGTCAATGAGAAGTGACTGTTGTACTGTGCTGCACTGCTTGCGTGTACAGTGCAGGCAATCACTTTCCAGTTGTAGACAGTTGACTTCGTACTGCTGTCAGGGGAACCCAAGAGGTTCAAGTCCATGTGTTGATTCTTTATCTTCTGAAGTCATAGCAACTCACATTAGCTTGAGTCCGTTGATTGAGTTGTGTTGAGTTATGTACCAAGTGTATCGGGTTCCTTATCTGGTTCTTTGATAGTAAGCTTGTTAGATCATCAAAACATAAAGCTAAGGTACTGTAAACCCATCATGTGCAAAAATAAAAGAGAATTCACATGGGTGAATATTAAAGAACTAGAAAGTTCTTTACGAATTCTCTTACATTGTTTGTTCTTATAAATTAATAGACCAACTAAAATTGGAATTAAATCCCATGAATGCTGGAAATATCAAAAGTGAATATGGGCCCATTAACCTGCCATGTATGCCACATAAGATGCATCTATGAGATGGTTACATATGCGATTATTATTAACCCGCAACCTGGTGTTTGCAGGGTAACTTGCTCAATAATTTAATTTAGAGCAGAATTTCCAAATTTTCTATTCAAGACAATTCATCTTGATAAGTTGGTTTACACCACAGTTGATTTAGCAAAATAATTTATTGAATGCCTCCACTTAATAGCTGAATTGTTGTTAATGAGAACAAAGTTATATATATCAGCTTGATGTACGTTATATGCGAAAGTATATTTCATTCTCCCCTCATAAGTGGTTCAGGGTCATGAACCAAATAATTCCATCTTATTACTATTGATATGCAGTGTATATTTTCATTAACACCATAATGCACAAAGATGGGTTCCCAATATTGACGAAGAAAGTTAGTTTTTCTAACATGAGGGGGAGACAAGATAAACAATTGAGAAAAAGTTACGTGCAATGAATTATCATTTGTACATCTAGATCCTCGAGTAATATAATATGAACTTGAAGTTCATAAAAAGCTAATTCATTTTCAATATATTGCAAAGCATGTGTAACAACCCGACCGGTCATTTTGAGCAATTGCATCCGGTTCGGCAGTTTGAGGTCACAAGTAGCTTCACACAGTGTATTATGAGTTGCGTGCATCATCGGTTCGGGTTTTTGAGAAGTTCGGAAAGAATTTTTAGAAGTGACTTTCATTTGAGATACTTGAAGTTGAAAGAATTGACCAAGATTTGACTTTTGAGTATTTGACGGATTGGGGTTTTAATGATTCAGATAGGCTTGGGTGGTGCTTTTGGATTTAGGTGTACGTTC